GTGGAAGAGTCTTTACCTAAGTTGGGCTGGGCACGTAAGTCTTTGCTTAAGTTAATGCAGGACGCAACCCCTGTCCTACTTTTCTCACTGGGGTTGTTTGGTGTCCTCTAGTGAACTAACTGGTTGCAGGTGGTGCTTGGCTGAAGATAACCTGGCTTTTAATGTTATTGCTACATGTTATCCAGCAGTTGGTGCCCTGAAAAATCCTGTGTGAATCTAAATTCTTATTTGGCAATTTTATCGATTGTTTTCTGCCTACAAATTTGGATGAATTACAGTTAACTTATAGATGCAGGGGAGAAATGAATAAAGATTCTTATTACATAAATTCTAGCACTTAGCTTTTGTTATTGTGAGTGACATCTGGGAATCAGAGGGTACAGTTCTTTCTAAAACTACTCTTGGCTATGGTGAGTGGTGTGCACCAACTTGCATCCTTGTATGTTGAACAGCTTGTTTGTTCCTTGGAGAACAAACCAAAGTAAAAACGGCTTTTCTCAAACTAACGCCTTGGAGAGATTCTCTAAATTAATGGTTTGAAAAACTTTGATATTGTTAAGATGGCAGTAGTCCCAAATTGATCTACGAATTCACTCAGTCTTTTGTGAGATTCTGGGTTACTCTTTTGCAGAAATTCACGTGCTGATTCTAAAGTTCATAAAAAGGGACCTAGAATAGCCAGAACTGGAGGGGGGAAGGGTTAACCAGCAAAACTATAACAGTAGAATAACCAAAACCATTGAAACACAGTGTTGAAAGGGTCATATGTCTTGATTTCAAAATTTACCACAAAGCTATAATAATTAAAATGGTGTGGCACTGGCATAAGGATGGGTATATAACAGTGGAACAAATATTAAAGTCTAGAGATGAACCCAGATGTTTATAACTAATCTTTGGTGAGGGTGCTAAGACAATGTAATAGAGAAAGGAAAGTCTTCCCAAGAAATAGTGCCAGGACAACTAGTTATCCACATGCAAAAGAATGAAGTTGGACCCTTACACTATGTATAAAAATTAACTCAAAATGGATCAAAGATGTAAATATATGGGCTAAAACTGTAAAACTCGTAGGAAAAAAATAGGTATAAATCTCCATGACCTAGGATTAGGGAATGATTTCTTAGATACAGCATTGAAAGCACAGGTGATTAAAAAAAGATAAATTGGATTTCATCAAATTAAAAATTATTGTGTTTCAAAGGATACTGTCAAAAAAAAAGCTCAACACCTGTAGCCCAGTGGTTACAGCACCAGCCACGTACACCAAGGCTGGCAGGTTCGAACCCAGCCCAGGCCAGCTAAACAGGAATGACAACTGCAACAAAAAATAGCCGGGCTTTGTGGCAGGCTCCTGTAGTCCCAGCTACTTGGGAGGCTGAGACAAGAGAATCCCTTGAGCCCAAGAGTTTGAGGTTGCTGTGAGCTGTGACGCCATGGCACTGTACCGAGGGCGACATAGTGAGATTGTCTCAGAAAAAAGAAAAAAAAAGGAAAAGAAAAGACAAACCATAGAATGGGAGAATGTTTTTGAGAATACATTAGTAATGACCTAGTATCAAACCAAAGTTCAGTTCTCATTTCTCCATCCTTAAATTCATATATTAATTACAGTTTAATTCCATTATTACCACATTTTTTTTTCTTTTGAGATAGAGTCTCAGTGTTACCCTGGCTAGAGTGCCATGACATCATAGCTCTCAGCAACCTCCAACTCTTGGGCTCAAGTGAGCCTCTTTCCTCAGTTTTTCTATTTGCTTGGTAGAAATGAGGTCTCATTTTTGCTCAGGCTGGTGTTGAACTCAAGAGCTCAGGCAGTCCACTCACCTCGGCCTCCCAGAAATCTAGAATTATAGGCATGAGCCACTGCATCCAGCCTACCACATGTATTTTTAAAGAGATTTGTCTGTGATCATGGATCTGAGGATCCATGTCAGTACCGTCAAGGAAGGAAATATCAGTATTGTCATACACTGTTTTGAAGGGGAAATCAATCTCAAAGTACAGTAAACCAATTCAGAAATAGTCTTAAGCTTGAAAGTTACAGTTTAATTAGTGAAAGGAGAAATACTTATCATTGATACAGAAAATGATGATGTTGGGTTATGATCCAACTCTTAAGTGCACTTGTCATATGAAGTAAATAATAGAAAAATTCTTTGTGTGTCACGTGTCTGTTTTTAGCCAATCAGAAGTCAGGATCATTTTGTATGTAATAATAGGGTTTATTTGGAGGGCAGTTAAAAGTAGGACTTAGAGGACACAAGGGGCTATGTATTACGGCTTCTTTGTTGTAGTGAAGACATAATTGGTCTGGTGTGTGTAGAATTTTTAAATTTAGTTTTGAGGGCTGACTCTAGAAATGTACAACCGTATCTTTTCAATTGTAGGTTTTCAAATATTATTCACTCTTAATACTTCTTAAGGTAACAGAGCACTGGTTTTTACTTTTGATGAAACAATTTAATGGGCTGTGAAGGAAAAAGTACCAGCTATTAAGGGGGAGAGAGAATTTTATGAAAATGTCTTCAAGGTTTCCGTCACCGTCTCTACCAATTTTTCTTTCACCGGAGCCAGTTGATTTAGGTTCTGTAGCAAGTTCCTCTTGTTCACTGAATGAGCTGGACAATATTTCCCATCTTTTAAGGAAGATATCAACTGATATAAATGAAATTAAAGGAATGAAAGCAGCAATTTTGACAGTAGAAGCAAATCTTTTTGATCTAAATGTTAGAGTGTCACAGAATGAAGCAAAAATTTCATCTTTGGAGGTTAAAATGAATGAATATTCAACATCAGCATCTGAATGCAACAAACAGTTTGAAGATCTTCATGAGGAAGTAGATTTTGAATCACAGTCAAGGGCTACTGATGTAAAAATAATTGGCTTCCTTAGAAACATTGAGAAAGGTAAACTCTTAGCATACAACATCTTGTAGGTACTCATCCTTTAATCTATCTTCATAGAGAACTTGAATTTTTCACAGACCTTTAATGACACATTTGAACTCTACAAAATTTCAGTTTAGAAGCCTGGAATTTATCAGAATTTTATTCTCTTTACTAGAGCTCTCTAAAATATTATTTTTGAAAAGTATAGAGAGAATAAGCAAAACTAGAAATGTGAGAGATGATCCCCTTATATGTATCTGCATGAAATTACTGGTATTGCAAAATGTGTAATTCTTTCATTATTTGCTGTTGATGTTAAAGAGAATTATTGTGGTATATGAACCTATTTGGACTGGAAGAGCATTATTCTATAATCTGTAACATGTCAGTTTCCCACACTGCCCTACAGGAATACAACCTGACCTAAATGGCATCTGGTTGCAGGTCTGTTCCTCCAGATTTGTGTTATGCTGTGATACTTTCAGAAGGAATTCATTTTCTTTTGGATACACCACTAAAGAGTAAAGAGATGTAACTCACATTTTAAAGGAAAATAACTGATAAAATTTCAAATTGAACATAGCTTTTGAAATTTAAAAACGCCTTTTAATGAAATATGGTACTTGATGAGAGATTGCCACTTAGATGTTGCACTAAGGAAGCAGAGCCTGTCCTTGTGAAACCAGTTGTGATAGATGTACTAGAAGTTAGCATGTAGGCATCTTACTAATACTTCAGCATTTGGAGCCCTACTAATTACATCCCTTCATACGCCATAGTGCAGCATTTTTCTTCTAAGTGAACAAGTTGATAACTGCTAAGCATTTGGTGGGGATGGGAAGAGGGTACAGAGAAGTGTGACATTCTTCCATTCTTTATTTATTTATTTATTTATTTATTTTGAGACAGAGCCTTAAGCTGTCCCCCTGGGTAGAGTGCCATGGCTTCACTGCTCACAGCAACCTCCAACTCCTGGGCTTAAGCGAGTCTCCTACCTCAGCCTCCCAAGTAGCTGAGACCACAGGCGCCTGCCACAACGCCCGGCTATTTTTTGGTTGTAGCCATTATTGTTGTTTGGCGGGCCCGGGCCACCTTAGGTGTATGTGGCTGGTGCCTTAGCCACTTGAGCCACAGGCGCCGAGCCCGTTCTTCCATTCTTAAGGAGCTTACCATCAAATTGAAGATAAGAGAAAATCAGTTCTTTGTCATTGTTTTGCCCAGTATGACTACTGGGAATATTATTAGAAATTGATATTATCAATCTGTTTAAAAAATATTAAATACTCTTTTTAAAAAATACTAATTTATTTTTGGAAGTAGTATCTTGCTTGTTGCCCAGGCTGGGAGTGCAGTGATGTCATCATAGCTCACTGCAAACTCTTGGGCTCAGGTAATCCTTTTGCCTGCTCTTAGCAAGAAGCTGAGACTATAGCCCTCCACACCTGGCTAATTTTTAAAGTAGAGACAACGTTTCACTATGTTGCTTCAGGCTGGTCTTGAACTCCTGGCCTCAAGCGATGCCCCCACCTCAGCCTACCAACTTGCTGAGTTGCTGGTATTACAGATGTGAGCCCTTTTTTGGCCAAAACTACAGTTGAGCAAAGGGAGCTGTCTTTTATTTCTGGAGATCCAAAGAATTATTTTCATGGCCTGGACTTCTGAACTGAGTATTGTACTTGTTTATTTTCTTTGCATCCATCCAATCCCATAGTTTGTCTTTTAGGAACTCCATGATTACACAGTTCTCTAGTGCTTTGTTTTGGAATTGTAAAGGTGGGGGAATGAGGTATAATAAGAGCTGAGGCAATGGTGGGGTTGCTTATCATGTTTATAGTGTGAGCTGCTACTCCACCAGGCAGCCTCCTTGGCTTTTCCACACTTTTACCACAGACTTTGCTTCTAGGAATTTCCTCCATTGCAGTTGTTGGTTTAAATAGCTTTTTGCCTTACAGGATATATATTTTTGGTCTATAAATACTACTAAATTGCATTGTTGAAGCTTTAAGTGAGACTTTCACTTAAGAACCCAGTAGGATTAATTTCTGGGAAATACTTGCTGGTATTGTTTGTATATTAAGCTTAGTGAAGTTTTAAAATTTATGTTCTAGGAACTCAACAGAGGCAATTATTATCCCGACTGCAAATTGACCCAGTAATGGCAGAAACTCTGCAGATCAGTCAAGGTTGGTAATATTTAAATTTTCACTGTCATCTAGCAATTTTCAGTTGCCATTTCCATTCCTTAACACATCATTTAATGTGCCTTGTATCTCTTAGATCCTGCCCTAACATGCTATGTTTAGATCTGTGAAAATAAATAAGGGCGAGGAGATAAGATCTACATTTTCTTCATGTTATATGCTGTTTTTATTTTTTGCCTCATAAATTTTCTTCCTATCATGCATCATGCCATTCCACCTGGGTCCCTAGTACCTGCTAGCTGCCCACTCTCCTGCTGTCAGGGATAACTTGAGTCCCTTTGTTACTTTCCTTCTCTATCCAGTTTGCGTCATTGCCCTAGGCTCCTTTAGCATCCTGTTTTGCCTGTTCAAACTTATCCTTACTTTTTACTTCACTTTAGAATCTTAGTGCCAGGACCACATCTAGGATTGTTCTACAGGCACTATTATTTAGAGTAGAATGTCCATAGTTGACCACCTCTTTAAGTTGACCTAATTTTCATAGATTAGACAAGTACCACATGTACTAAAGCCTAGTTCCTTATGTTGACCACCTCTGTATATTGACCAATTTGTTACGGTCACTTGGGTGGTCAATTTACAGAGGTTCTACCGTAATTGTTTACCCATCTCACCTGTCACCTCCCCTGACACACACAGTACATGAACTACTTCAGGACTGGGCTGGTGCCTTCCTCATCTCTGTGTCCTCATTGGTTAGCCCCGGCCGGGTAGATGTTCAGTGCCTACAGAATGACTCCTGGTTAAATGCAGGGGAGTCACTGGTCCTGGAAATCTTCTCATTCCTTGTGTTCCCCCTAAGTCTGCCCTTCGTTGGAAGCTCTGGTCCTTTAGCTCCTTCCTTTTACCCCTCTTGAATTTTTTTTCCCTTTATGACCCCTAGTTAGTGACCATATCCCCTGACCTTTCCCCAGCTTTCCATCTCAGAAAGGTGTTCTTTTCTTCTTGGTTAAACTTTACCAGATGCCACCCAGCTAATGAACATCATCATGCCGCCATATTCCTTCAGCTTTAGTCTCCACCTTCTCACTCCACATATGGAAGTATTCAGATATACTCCATCTTTGATGCTGCCCTCTCATCTCCCAGCATTCCATCCTGCTTTCTACATAAGAGTATTTTCTTTCAGAAAGTTTAGTAGCATAGGTCTATAAGTCATATCCACTTCCTCAGCTTTTGTGCAGTCTTTCTGTTTTGTTTTCCTTAAGTTTCCTTTTTGTCCATAGTGCATGCAACAGTTTGAAGCCTCAAGTACTACTTTGAGGCTTATGAATGGTTATAACCTTTAACTTACCTCCTATTACATCTTTATTTCTAAGAGCCCCTTTCTTTCTGCATATTCCATTTACTTTAAAAATGTGCCAATTTTGTTTCATGTATGCAGTGCTTTTTCTTCGAGGATAATAAAGGTTGTCTTGACATCCTTCTTCCCCTTCTTGGTTTTGTTTTCTGTTTGTTTTGACTGTCTCTCGTAATAGAGATTTTCCTCAGACGTTTTGGAACTTTCAGTTTTTTGTTTTGTTTTGTTTGGGGTTTTTTTCGCAGTTTTTAGCTGGGGCCGGGTTTGAACCCGCCACCTCCGGTATATGGAGCCAGCACCCCTACTCCTTTGAGCCGCAGGCACCACCCCCTCAGTTGTTTTGTATTTAAGAGTGGGCCACTAAAAAATGCACTGGTTTTGTAGGTGCATGAGTTGGGGCATGGGGGACTTTTGGTTTCATATTTGAATGTAGAATCTGCAGTAGAGAGTGATTTGTCCTGTCTAGTTTGGGTGTGCTTGATGTGTCAGTGGTTTCTGGTCTTTTCTCCCTGGTTGGTCACCTTTGCCAAAGAAAGATCTTGCAAGTAATAGCCTAGTTGCCAGAGTTGTGGGTGCTAAGTGGGGAAAGAAGACTGGGGGAAGCACCTCTGCATTATTTATTATGCAATGTTTACTTAGCATCCCCTTCCCCATTTTTAGTATGGCACTTCTTTCAATATACCTGGCTTCTTTTGGTCAACGAACCTCTATCCTTAATTTCTCTATGTCTAAAGCTCCATTTCTTCCAAGGGACAATGTATGAAATGGATAGAAGTTATCAGGAAAACTAACTGCCTTTAAAAACATAATTTTAATAGTTATATTTAGATTGGTTTGTTGTAGTGTCTTTTCAACAGAGATGTTGATGCTTCATCCACGGCCCTCTCCAGCAGTAAGCAGCAGGAGAAGCACATCTCCAGGCATCCCATATGTCTTCAGCATAGAGGGGCTGGGGAGATGGGCGCCGTGTGGACCAGAACAAAACAGATAAGTGGAATTTGGAGTTTAGGAAGAGTTAACTGCTTTTTAAATGGACACTCTGACTTACCTCTTTTTTGCTTTGTCTTTACCATTTCTTTGCAAGCTCTTTTCTGCTAATTTCTCAGCCTTTGGAGAATTTAGATCTTATATTGCTTCATTATTGGTTTAGAATTTAGCTGTTGCAGATCTTCACTGAGTTAGTTCCTACTCAGTCTGTTTTCTGCTTTCTAAATGTGGCTCCCCTTTTACAGTGACTTACTTTATGGGTTTATGCTTTTATTTAAACAAAACAACCGTTTTTGACACTATTGTGGGGTTAGAGGAGGGAACAAAAAACAAATGCATGGATTCAGCCCATGTTCTCCATCCAGATGTCACTCTCTGTCTGGCCTGTCTTTCAGGCTTCTGTGTGATTCAGGCTGCTAACATTCGGCTTTCGGAGGTGACCAGCAGCTTGTGTAGGATGGAAAGCTCTGTTTTCAATGCACACTTTCCTAAACTCCGTAGCCCGTTGTATTCCCATGTTTCTTTGATCCTTCTCTCTCTCTTTCTCCCCACCCCTCTCATTTTCATTCCTTCTCCTTTACCAGCTTGTCTCGTGCACTTTCCCTTAAAATGTTAGTTAGCTTTGCCCTGTGTCCTACACTCAGCATTATTTTCATCTCTTCTATATTCTCCCAAGGTGTGAACTAGTAAAACAGCTTCACTTCAGGTTGGTGACAAGGAAAGCAGCAGCCCTCGGGCCAAATTCTGGGCTTTACTGTTGCTCTCTGAGACTTTAGTGATCAGTTAAGAACTTAGAGCTACAAATTGGTCATCTATAACATGAGAGGAAAACTCTTAACTTTTTTAGGCTTCAGGTGAGGATCAGTGAGAGATGACAGCCCTGAATACACCTTCTATTTAACTCTTTTCCTTATTTCTTTTCTCTTGAGTGTCAAATTTGACTTTTCAGCTTCCTCCTGGACACAACAGCCCCACAAAGACTTCCCAGTGAATAAATTGAATGAACTCTTGTCTTTGCCCTCTCTCTTAACTCAGCTTTTTCTCCTTTCCTGTTTCCCATCTGTTTTCTCCATGTCTGTCTCCTTTTACCACCCCTGGTATCCTGGCTGGGGAAGGCAGGCCTGCCCCTTGGTGGGGTAGTGATGGGAAAGTGCAGCTGCTGTGGAGTGCTCCATCAGGGAGCTCGGCCTGCCTCTTCTCCCCCTCTTGATTGTGTTAGAGTAGGACAGAGCCTCACCATCCCTCCTGGGCAGCAGCCTCTAAGATCTAGGGCTCCAGTCCTTTCTTAAGACTCTTTTTCCAAAAACTTGATTCGATCAGATCACTTTTCTACTTAGGAATTCTTTTGATTTCTTGTTACTTCCAGACCAGAATCCGAAGTCTCTGATACAAGATCCTTTATTGCGTGCTTCGGCTTTCCTTGCCTCTTACCTGCTTAGCCCACTACACACATATATATCTTACCTTCTTGTGAAAGCCCCTGCCTTTCTTGGTTTCCCTTTGCTTAAAGAGTTCTATTTACTCTCTCACTTTCTCTCTCCCCAGTTCATTCCTGTGCATCCCTTTAATACCCACTTCAGATGTTTGTCCTTGGTGAGCTTTTCCTTGATTCCCCAGCTGGAGAGGGTTGCTTTCTTCATTACCTTTTTGGATCACTTTTAGAGTCAGGAAGTTCTGGAATGATGTGTTTTCTTCATCAGTAAATGAACATGAATGATATCCTGTGAATTTTGGTCTCTGTTTTTAACACTTAGCTTTAAAAGAAGTGCATTAACTTTAGTCCCTCGGCATATTGATAGGCTAGACCTGGGCTTCAGGTCTTAGCATATTTTATAAAATAGTCTTAGGAAGAATGTTACAGATGATGTGAGCTTTTGGTTATTTGCATTGAAGGTCGGTGTTTTTCTTGCTATAAATTTTAAAAATGCCCATTCGTCTTAGGATTCCCTTTCAAAATACCTTTTTTCTATAACCAGGTAGGGATTATGCTACTTAGAATTCTTTTTATCAGGATCTTTTCTTCTCTGTAAGTGGTACTGTGTAAAATGAGCAAAACAGATTTTAAGAAAATAGTTTAGTAATTTGTGTGAATCATAATTTTAGGGAGTATTAGGACTCTTCAATTCTTCATGTTTTTAGGAAAGACTATTGTACTTTAAAGGGTATATTGTTAATACCCCATTAAGTACCCTCATGAGAACCTTTCTCTACTACTGTAGGGAAGGAGTGTTAATTAGAATCATTTGTAATGTGCCATATGAGGAAAAGGACTCCTTGAGTTCTTTGAAAAAATATTTGGGATAGAATTATATCCCTGTTCTGAATAGAACCAGTTGTGATTTTCTTTTGAAAATAATTATGAATATATAAAAGATTGACAGTCTTCTCACATGTGTGATGTTGGGAATGCAAGATATATTCAAAAGTAAACATTTGTGGCCAATTTTTTTGGCTCAGATTACTATGACATGGAATCCATGGTCCATGCAGACACAAGATCATTTATTCTGAAGAAGCCAAAGCTGTCTGAGGAAGTAGTAGTGACACCAACCCAAGAGTCGGGGATGAAGACTGCAGATACCCTTCGGGTACTTTCAGGACACCTTATACATACACGGTAGATGGTTTCTTTTTCTTGTGTAGATACGTTGTATGATTAGATAGTGCAGGTTAACCATTAGTTCCCTGCTTCCCTTTCCCAGCCTCCAGCATAGAGTGCTTTTATTGATTCAGTAGTCAGCTGGTGAATAGTTAGCCAGATTCAGTTTTCAAAAATTTCATTTCATCTTTCTTATTCAGAAATCCATTAACCTTTGAGAAAAAGATCAGTGTATGATTTAATGCCACTGATAAGATTCTTTTCTTTATGCACATCGAGGAAATAAAATTTTAAAAGCCAGGTGACCTAATCAGGAACTCTCTCTGAAGAGAGAGAGTTAACACATCAAGTTTGGGAGATTCTTTCCTTAGAAAATGGACTGTGTGTTCTATAAGGGAACACAAGTGCAGATAATAAAATTGGTGTGGATGTAAAACTGCTGGCCCTTGTGTTCTGAGCATCGATGCTAATTCTTTGGTTTAATCTCCATGTTAACCCTTTGAGGATCAGGTGGACAGTGAGGTCAGGGTTGAGGGAAGATTGTCCTTAGTAAGTGCAGGCTGGAGGGTCACTGTTGGTGATGCTGAGTAATCGCTTGTGGCTATAGTGTGTTAGCAGAAACCCACTAATGCTGCACGTGGAGTCCTACTGAATCTTTTTTTATTGAAGCAAAAGCAAGACGAGAGTGATAGTTCTACTGAAGAGCACTTTAGGAGGCTCAGCATTTTGTGTTTGTTTCCCTAATTCTATGGTATTTTTTATCTGTCTGGCAGAGATCTTGTACAACCAGATAAACCTGCAAGTCCCAAGTTTATAGTGACGCTGGATGGTGTCCCCAGCCCCCCAGGATACATGTCAGATCAAGAGGAGGACATGTGCTTTGAAGGAATGAAACCCGTAAACCAAACTGCAGCCTCAAACAAGGGACTCAGAGGTCTCCTCCACCCACAGCAGCTGCAGTTGCTGAGCAGGCAGCTTGAGGACCCAAATGGTAGCTTTTCCAACGGTGTGTTGAGAGTTCAGACTTCCCCCTTCTCAGGGCGTGCTGTCATTGTGAAGGGAATCTTGGACTTGTTTCTCTCCCTTGAATATTGGTCAGAGCCCTTACTTTGATTTGTGTTCAACAGTGGCCTTTTAACCACCAGTTAAATTTCAGACTATTTCCCCTGGGTATGTTTCATAGGTGGGCTATTATTCTGGTGCTAAAATGGAGTTGAGCCAAGGCAACTAAAAATACTTCTCATTATGTTTGTTAACAGATGAACCATCATTCTTGATGCCTTGTTTACCCATTTTTTTCTCTAGAAACCATACTGTCACTTTCACCTTGTACTAGCAATAGTCTTTTGTAATTAATTTGAGAGAAAAATGAATTTGGTTCTTGATGCTATTTCTATCTCAGTGAAGTTTCTTTGAAAGGACTTTCTGACCTAATGTGTCAAGATACTTCTTGGGAGTGTAGGACAAAAACTACTAATACTTGGCAGAACTCAGGTAAATGCAGTTCAGACAGTGCCATGCTCTTAGGCAGGTGAAGTTTCTTACCACCGCTGCTGCTTTTGCTGGATCACCACTTGCATTTTCATTCATGATAGAGAACGGAAACTGTGCTTCTCATATTCAATAAAATTTTTAGGAAACACCTCTTGACTCACAGGGTAGATGATTACTGAATCTTATAAATGAACAAATGGAAAGAAAAAAACTGATGGATTTTGAAACTTTTTCTTTGTAATCCTCTTGATAGAGATGAAAATGTATTGAATACCTTTCTCAGATTTTAGGGGGAGATCAAGAATTGGTGAAGAAATAACACTATTAGCTTTAACCTGAGTGCTTTTCCTGCTGCAAAATAGTTTTATAATTTTGATGAGTGGAAGGAATTGAAAATCTCATCCTGGCTCCGCACCCATAGCACAGTGGTGAGGGTGCCAGCCACACATGCCGAGGGTAAAGGGTTTGAACCTAGCCTGGGCCAACTAAACCACTGCAAAAAAAAAAAAGAAGAAAAGCCAGATGTTGTGGCAGGTGCCTATAGTCCGAGCTATTATTTGGGAGGCTGAGGCAAGAGAATTGCTTAAACCCAAGATTTGAGGTGCTGTGAGCTGTGACGTCACAGCACTCTACTAAGGGTGACATAGTGAGACTATCTCAAAAAAAAAAAAAAGAAAGAAAGAAAATCTCATCCTATCAACAGGAAGAAACATTTTAAAAGTAACAGGAAGAACTGCAGTAGTGAGGCAGTGCAGAATTCTTGGCCTTTGTATGTTTTGTGGAAAATATGAAAATTCTTGTGTTTTTACTATTTGTGATTTTCAATTTGGTAGCTTAGTAATTTGGTCTGTTAGGATCTAATTTTGTTTAAATGTAAATGTCCACGTTAGGATTAGTGGTGTATATGTAGTAGCAAAAACATTGACTGGTGTGGAGACAGCTGTGATGAGTGGTGAGCCTCTTCCCCCTTGCTTTGAATAGAAACTCAAAATGTTTTACTGTTGCTCAGAGATGATACTTTGTAATACTAGGACATCAGCTGAGCCTGGCTGACTGGAGAGACTGTTGCCTAACAAGTTACCAGGAGTCTCTGGCCTCTGCAACTCTTCTCTTGGCAGGGAGTTCGAAACTTTGTAATTACTTTTGGTTGGGTTTTTTTGAGAGTTATTTCAAGGGCATTACATTAGTGACATCTGTTTTAAGCTGCCCCTGCCCCCATTAATGGTGGCACAGATTTTATAGCTTTCAATAAAAAGTGAATTTGCCTCTTAAAACTTCAGGAAAAATTTTAATGGCTTATGAGGTAAATGTCAATTGGGGAAACCAAAGGCCATGGCCTTTGTATGTGTGGATTAAAGTTTCTATCAGGAAGGTAAAGTTTCCTTATGAAGTATTAAATTCTTTCCTATTACTTTTGAGTACTTTACTACTTTATTCATTCTCCAACTAGTGAGTATTCTCTCAGACTTTGATTTGTACTGGGTTCTTAAGTGTATACCATAGTCTAAGACATTTTCTCAGTAGGGATGACACAAACACTTAGAAGTTAGAAAAACTCCTTCCAGTCCAGTCAGATTTTCTTTGGAATTGAGAATACTTAGGTTTCTTAGAGCTAAAATAAATGACTTAGTATTTTTAAGTAGCATAGAAAAATGTATATATCAGGCATAGGCAAGTTAACTCTTTGATGCTCCCATCTGGGCTGCATGACTGGATTGTGTGCCTTGTTCTCCAGTAATGTGGATGAAGTTGGGACACTGGAACAAACAATAAGTACTCAGGGTACTAAGTGCTGCTGCTGTTGGTATGTTATGAATTGGTTGTTGCCTGATTTTGTTTTTGTTTCTTAAGAGATAGGCTCTCACTCTGTCACCCATGTTGAAGTACAGTAGCACACTCATAGCTCACTATAACCTGAAACTCCTGGGTGGTCTTCTCCCCTTAGCTTCCTGAGTAGCTAGTACTACAGGCATGTGCTAATTTTTTTTTATTTTTTGGAGATAGAGTCTCACTCTGCCCTGCATAGAGTGCAGTGGCATCATAGCTCATAGCAACCTCAAACTCTTGGGCTCAAGCAATTATCTTGTCTCAGCCTCCCCAGTAGCTGGGACTACAGGTACCTGCAACAACACCCAGCTATTTTTAGAAATGAGATCTCCCTCTGGCTCAGGCTGGTCTTGAACCTGTAAGCTTAGGCAGTCTACCCGCCTTGGCCTCCCAGTATATTAGGATTACAGGTATGAGCCACTGAGCCTGGCCTATGTGCTAATTTTTTTTTTATAAATATGAGGTCTCACTCTGTTGCCCAAGCTGGTCTCCCATCTCCTAGCCTCAAGTGATCTCCCTGCCTTGGCCTCCCAAAGTGCTGGGATTATAGGTGTGAGCCACCCTGTCTGTCCAGGGTTGGCCGTTTTTCATTCTTTCCATTTAATCATCAGACTCTGAGGAAGGCATTATTTTCTTTTTGTATAGGTGAGGAAACTAAAGTTCACAGGGGTTAGATAATACTTGCCAAAGGCTCTAGCTAAGCTACTAGATTGCAGAGCCAGATTTGAACTGCCAGACCTCAGGCAAGAGGAATAGAAGAATGCAGTTGAAGTACTATTTGCTTTCAGAAATGCATAGGTGAACCATAATGTGTAACATCCACGATGTGGGGGATTTTGTTTAGGGTATCTCAGGCCAGAAAAGTTGGCCGCAGAATCAGCCCATAGGTGTGGTTTATTTGTTTTATTCAGTGCTCTAAATTTGAATCAGTTGCCAACATTGGAAATTTCACTGTCACATGAAAAGGCAGAGTTTGGGCTTACTTTAAACAGGAGAAAATCTGGCAACATAGGTACTACTTTTCCGTGGCTTAGTAGTAGATGATATAATTGGATGTGACACTGTGAGTGATGTGAGTGGGCATACAACTGCTTTGTAGATTGCTGTTCCCCACCTGTCCCTTTGTGTAGCACACCATTCTTACTCCGTGAACTGCCTTCTCCCTTGCAGGTAATGGCATTTGTGACCCATGGTAGGCAAAAGTGTTTTGCTCTCCTTTCAGACATTGCTGTGAGTTGAGCACCTCCATTTAGGGAATTGAAAATACTCAGCAAGTGGGAAAACTTTTATATGATTTGGACCACTCTTAATTTTGCTGGAATTTCAGAATTAGTTCATTTTCCTTATCACCAAATTTGTGTTTTCAGTTTCCACTTAATTTTATTGGCTTACTTTTATATTTAATTTATCTCTTAAATAATGTTGAGAATTAGAATCTTTGGTGAAAACTTTAGTCCTAGTTGCAAAATCACTGTCCACTTTCCTTTCACAATGAGAACTATATATTCTCATTCTTGGTAATCTTTTATGGGATTCTATTATTAGTGTTGATCAGATTATTTGTGATTATTTTATATGGCTAAAAAGTAGATTTTTTTAAGACTGAGGTTTAAGGAAAATCTGTTGCAGGTGGCATGTACTGAATTGATCATAACTGAGATATTCTAAATTCCTTTTCTTTTGTAGCTGAGATCAGTGAACTGAGTGTGACACAGAAACCAGAAAAACTTTTGGAACGCTGCAAGTACTGGCCTGCTTGTAAAAATGGTGATGAGTGTGCTTACCATCATCCCATATCACCTTGCAAGTGAGTAGCATCACACGGATTCTGGTTTTCAGTTTAATGGCTATATCTTATAGCTTATTTTGCTTTTTCTTTTCTATGGACAAATTATATAACTAAATGCAATGGTACTTCCCACGGCCTCCCTGAGAGCAGCAGACTTCTGTGGCATGTTTTTGCTGGGGAGGAGGCTTTGTTCTCAAACCTGTGACTTAAACTGATACCTGGGTTGAGAACTCTGCGCTTTAGCAGATGTTAACTCCTATTGAGTTATATGATATAACTGTTCCAATTGTGTGATTATGTTCATATACGTAATGAGGAGTGGGAGGCAAAGAAAGTTACAAGTAATGAGAAAATATTTTGGACTTGGGTTAAATCTTTCTTCAGTGTAATGAGTTTTATGAGATGCTTTTAGAATTTTTATGTCTCGGTTCTATAGAGGGAACCTTTCCATGTTTTGACTTCTTTAAGGAAATTTTAATACGGGATTTATATGGTTGTACACTTAAGGAGACCATGGGAAGAGTCTTTCCAGCAAGCCTTGCATGTAGGATATGCTTTTTATATTGAATTTACCAGGGAAAATAATAGACCTTGCAGAGAAAGTGGTATAGAAAGATGCACAAAATAAGCTGCTGCCTTTCGTGTGGCTTGGCTTACATCAAAAAGCTGTATTACCTCAAGCTTCAGAATGGACATTTGTGTCCTATTTTGATGTGTAGCTGCCTTTGAATAGAGTACTGAATCCTTTTTTGTTTCTTCTGTATTTCTTAAAACAAGTAGTGATAAGATAGGAGCAGAGATAAGAAGCCCCTCCTCAAAAACTGATAATGTGCTGAGAAGATGAAATGTGAATAATGTGCTGTTTTTGTTTGTTTTGTAGAGCCTTCCCCAATTGTAAATTTGCTGAAAAATGTTTGTTTGTTCACCCAAATTGTAAATATGATGCAAAATGTACTAAACCAGATTGTCCTTTTACTCATATGAGTAGAAGAATTCCAGTACTGCCTCCAAAGCCAGGTTAGTGCCTTTCAGTACACACTCCATTGGGTAAAAAAGTAGAAAGGGACATTTTATGACCGTAAGGCAAAATTGAACAAAAGAGGGGAATAGTTTTAGAAGTAATTTTGATGTGAGCAGTTAATCTCACCAGTGTTCAAAAAGTAAATGTAAGTCTTTTCCTTGTTGCTATAGTGGGGCGTGTTTATTGTTTGTGGCAAACAAATCTTGCTCTGTAAACCTTATTTTGCCTTTATTCTGTAAACCTATCTTTCCCTTCCTCAATAAACTTTCACACTTGCGCTGCAAAAGAAAAAAAAGCAAGTGTGACTATCCTGTAGTATTATTATTTTATCTTAAGTAATGAATATATGTATCTATATATATACACCAGCCTTACTGTTCTATTTTAAAACTAGTTCTCACTTAACATAAAAACATCAGTAGACTGGCCCGGTGCCTGTGGCTCAAAGGAGTAGGGCGCCGGCCCCATATTCTGGAGGTGGCACAGGTTCAAATCCGGCCCTGGCCAAAAACTGCAACCCCCCCCCCCCCCAAATCAGTAGACTGCATTAAAAATTATTTAGCCAAACAAATTTGATCAATCTTTGTTCTTATTTTTGTCAGCAGTGACAGCACCACCAACACCCTCTAGTAGTCAGCTCTGCCGTTACTTCCCAGCATGTAAGAAAATGGAATGTCCTTTCTATCATCCGAAAGTAAGAACTTTTATTTTCTTAAAAGTCAGTTTAGTGGCAACTTGTCTATGCTGAGATGTGTAAAGTCATTAGCAAATTGAAGGTTTGCTTTTTTCCCCCAGTTTAGCTTCTTTTTTGTCAATGGTCTTTAAGATTTTGTTCCTTAGTTGTCACTATACCTCTGTCTGGTGCCTTAGGCCAAGTCTGAGAATATTTAATGTGTTGGTATCCTAAAGTACTCACAGGAAAGAGGCTCATCTTTACATCATATTCTCCATTCTCTGCTCCTAAATATGTGGGTGTTTTTTGATGAAATCCAGTAGGTACTGCTTAATACCATCCAAACTTATATGGATGGTTTTAATTATGTGTTATAAGAATAATCAGTGCATCTCCAACTGCACAGTTGTTTGGGTAAAGGATCTCCTTTTTGCACTAACAGCCTGAAGACCTGTGAAAAGCCTTTGACTTGCCCCAGCTGTAACTGGGCACAGCTAGCTACTCAGTAAAGAGTATAATAAGGGATGATTAGAGCATTGATTAGAAGTTTATATTGTATGCTAAGCTTCCTTTTGAAATTTCACTCGCTGGGACTCTCTTGACTAGGATTTTGTCTTTCAAAGGGAGGTTTCTTTCCCACGGCTTTGATACTATTAAAAGAGACATTATAGAGCAGATCTCTTACCCTGTTAATGGTGGTAGCCTGTTTACTGTCATCTCAGATTGTTGTGTTTTTACTTGTATTAAGCTTGCAGATGTTGTTGAAGCTCTGTTATCTTTATTTAGCATTGTAGGTTTAACACGCAGTGTACAAGACCGGACTGCACATTTTACCATCCTACCATTACTGTTCCACCACGACATGCCTTGAAATGGATTCGACCTCAAACCAGGTAAAAGTTAAAATTAATTTTTCTTTATTTTCTTCTTTTTTTGAAACAGAGTTGAGTCTCTGTTGCACTAGGCTGGAGCACCATAGCATCATAGCTCACAGCAACCTCTAACTCCTGGGCTCAAAGGATCCTCTTGCCTCAGCCTCCTAAGTAGCTGGGATTACATGTGTGTACCACCACACTCAGCTCATTTTTCCATTTTTAGTAGAGATGGTGTCTCAACTTTTGTTCAGGCTGGTCTCAAACTCCTGAATTGGAGCAGTCCCTCCTGCCTCAGACTCCAAGAGTGCTAGGATTATATAGGTATGCGCTATTGTACTTGGCCTAAAATTAATTTTTCTTTTTTTATTATTATTTTGAGACAGAGCCTCATGCTATCGTCCTATGTAGAGTGCTATGGCGTAACAGCTCACAGCAACCTCAACTCCTGGGCTTAAGCGATTCTCTTGCCTCAGCCTCCCAAGTAGCTAGGACTACAGGCACTCGGCATAACGCCTATTTTTTGGTTGTAGTTGTCATTGTTTGGCAGGCCCAGGCCAGATTCGAACCTGCCAGCTCTGGCGCCTTATCTGTTTGAGCTACAGGTACCACCCATAAAATTAATTTTTCTATTATAATTTCTAATTCTTTTCTAATATGTAGTTTCTTATATAAATTTGGGGGAAATTAAACAGTCCCTTTTTTATTCTTTGCTCTTTAATTTTACAAGGGCCCATGTGACATAATTTACTACATGGACCAAACTTCGTTTTATTTAGTGATTACTTTTTTACTTAGATCACATTTCCTTTTTTTTTTTTTTTTAACTTCTGATCATATACTACAGCCAGCAGGAGTTTGTATATATACTGCTTATGAATCTAATCAGTTTCCTTAGACATTAGCAATTGTAAAATATGCCAGGAAGTTTCAAATATTATTTTAGTGTGGCATATAAATTTAATTACATGTTTTATCTGCTTACATAATTGAATGATTTTAAAATATTTGATATTGTAATCTTCTGACCAGATATTGTCTAAAAATATTCAGCTTTTTAGCTGAGCTATATGGTATATATGGATGCGAAGCAGATAATTTAAAACGTTTTTGGTTCTGTTCATTCAGCGAATGACAGCCAGTCCTGCCAGGCAGAAGATCATGCGGTTTAGAAGTTTCCATCTACTGATGAAAGATATTCTTCAGAACTTGTCAAATCTTTGAAACTTGGAATATATTGCTTTCATAATACGAAGTTTATTGCCTATCTGAAGTGTCTGATTTTTCAAGTTTGTAAGTTTCTCAAGTGATTTTAACATTGGGTGTTTTTTTGTTATTTTGTTTTTACAATGAAAAGATAGTTCAAGGAAAGGCTAAATTCTATTAAAACATTTGAGGCATGTTTGTACACTGCTGTTTTAAGTATCAGCATTTGTAATGTGACATCACTGTTAGTAACAATGATACTGTAATTCAGGGCTACATGATTGGTGGGCATAGAGAGAGAGATACAGTGAAGCAAGTCTCATTCTAAAAGTTGAAATTTGCTGCATTCACTTTTCCCAAAGATCATATAATTTCATAATCTACCATGAAAACAGGAGTTGCCAAAATAACTGAGAAGGCTTAAAATAGTCATTCAATTTTGCTTTTTAATTTTTAAGTGAATTTTGTTTGAAAAGCATGATAATACAGGCCTCTTGGATTGGGAGCTGCTTTGGTAAAGTTTCCCGGTTTCCTTTCCTTCTGTGACAGGATGAGCGAGGTTATTATGGAGGGTGGAGATAGCTAGAGTAGCAAGTATGAAAAATAGGAACAAGTCCTTACAGTGCTCTCATTTACTACGGACATAGGCTTTTTTCAGTAAGATTTTGGGGGAACTATGTTATGACAAAATTATACAATTTTTTTACAAGTATATACACAAAGTTTCATAAACAGACTTTAAACTCACAAGATTATAAATACATATATATTCTCACATTCTGGAAAATAACATTCTCAGCTTCACAGAAAATATACTTAGTTACTACTGAAGGTAACATTTGAAATGTAAAAATTAGATTTAAATGCTATATTTTAAATAACAGGCTATAATTACAGAGATCAGATAGGTAAACTGCAAAATAGGATGAAACTTGGCCTACTGGATCAGTTAGAGTTTTGTGTGTGTGGTTTTTTAAAAGTTAAGGCAAGAAGTGTCAAATTTAGAGTTAAAGAACAAATGGATCACTGATATCAAAGACTTGATGTATAGTACTGTTACAAATTAAAGCTTAACAGGTGGTTAGAAAAAAGTGGATTAATGCGAAAGGAATAAGGACTCAAAAATTCACAGGACCAAATTAAACTATCTCAATTAAAAAAAAATTCATTGACTTGCTTAGTTATATACCCAAATGGTAATAAACCCATATCTGTAAAGTTCCGTGTTTTAAGATCATGAAGCCAGCAGTGTTTTGTGGCTACTGCTCTTCCTTTGAAAGAAGAATTAATTAACCAGTCCCATTTGGTAAGTTGCAGTTTGCTGTGCTGATCCCAGAGAAAGACTTGAAACATGAGAAGAAACAAAGACAAAGCACACAAGAGCAGAAGGCTGTTGTGTTAGGCTTGGGTGAAATGACAATTCCACTTCATTTTAAAGGTTTCCTCAATTGAATTTAAGGCATTTGTTCATTCCAGTTTACTTGAGATAATGATGCTTTGCATCTCTACAGAAGAAAGTTCTGAATTGTTTAAATTTCTGGAAATAATTAGACGTTTAGCTATCATTTATAAATGTTACATATGATGACTGACATTATGTTTGCAAACTCATCCTAGAAGAAGTGCTGTATACCTCATTGTTAAATATCACTATAGTCACCTTCCAAAGTGCTCCCCTTGGGAAGCTATGCACCAACACTAGCACCTCGTTTACCCTTCAAAGCAATTTTGGAATTCTTTTTCTGGACTGGCCATCAGAGCTGTTGTCATAGGAAGTCTTGACAAGTTCATCAACTTGCCACTGGGTGTTTATGTTGGCAGCACTGAACAAACAACTTGGTAAGGTTTTATAACCTTGGCATGTCATATTGACTATGTGTGGTGGTGTCTTGCTGAGTGGCATTCGTTGTTGTTGCATGTTTTTGTGTGCTGTATGACAACAGCTCTGATGGGCATTCCAGAGTTCCAAAACTATTTTGAAGGGTCGACTAAGCACTGGTGTTAGTGCATAGCTTCCCAAGAAGAGTACTTTGATGGTAGCCATAGTGATACGCAGCCGTGAGGTATGTAGCACTTTTTCTAGGATGAGTTCATGGACTTAATTGTCAGACTTTGTAGGTATATTCTCAAGGTGTCACTATAAAGAACATAAATGGAAGACAAGGGCTTAATTTAATTTAGTTCAGCCACTTTACAAGGAAATAAAATGCTAAAATCTGATTATTTAATAGACAGGGCCTGGAAACACATTTAAGAGTTTTTCAATCATTGTGGTTTATGGGCAAGCTAAGGTTGCCCCCAAAACATTGGTTGGCTGGATAACCCTAGTATAAATAATGAACCACCACAATAAAAGGATCACAAGAAAGGGAACAAGCATGACTAGGAGCATGTTTGGTGATAAGAAGTGCGCGGTCCTGGAGTGCACAGTGTGCTTTGGCATGCATTTTATATATAAACAGGACTAAAGGTGCCCAAAGTCCTAGGTTATAGATTCAGGAGCTCAGATACTACACATCTGGGTTCAAAAAAGTAAAGATAGGGATTCTATATGCATGGCCTATCACATTTCTTCTCCTTTCTTTACTTGATGGCTAATACAGCAAGGTGGGGATGACTACTTAGTCTGAATGAGCTTTACTGGTGAAACTGACTACTGCCTTGATTAAAGCCACCTCAGGTTGGCCACTTCAAAGGACATAAATGCATCGGAAGCCTGTTTCTCCCATGTAGTTTACTTGTTTCAGGTTATGAAGTTTCTATGGAAGCTACAATGGAAATGGGATTTCTCTGTAGCCAAAATCTGGTGAACATGACCTAGAGGGGAAATTTAAAACTCCAACATGCTTAAATTTGAGTATTTTCCTTTTTATGGGAGGGTGGTTCAGGAGAAATTTTTTTCCTTTAATGACTGCCTCTTTGTAAAATACATAAATAGAAATCTAATAGTAATGTATTTCAACATTTAGATTAATTCAGGAGGAAAGAGTACCAGTTTTATGTTTCAAGCCTCTTAACCCCTTAATCAGCCCTTCAGACATAGCTATTCAGAGCTTAAGAACAGACTAGGCTCATTCACTGTCGGTTTTCTGTGATAGCTTGTAGTTTCTGTTCTTAATTTTCACAAAGTATTAGATACAGGAAATACATATTAAGAATCTTCTTAATGTCTTGTTAAACTGAGGATTCCAGAAACCTGAGGGGGTAGGGTCTCTTTATACTATAAAGATAGTAACACATTAAAGTAAAAATCCATAAGACTAATAATTAGAGCATCTAAACTTTATACTTAGAAAAATATATTTTTAAGTAACAATCTACATAATTTTCAGTCTTCAGGAAACTACACTTAAGCTAAACAGCAAATTCCTGAATGGTGATTACTGATCTTTGGCAGCATTTAAAGTGACAAGAGAAAAAGAGCTAAAGAAGTCAGCCCTAATCCACTAAAAAGGAATTGACAAGTTTTACAAATTTATCTGGGTTCATTCATTTTGGAAATTACCCTATAAGGTGGCACACATATAACTTAAAATTTCCACAGTAAAAAAAAGCTATAAAAATTTTTCTTCCGTGATTAAATTGTATAACTTTGTGTGAATTTAACACTTTTGTTTACATGTTCAACAAATCTTTTTATACTAGATTACATCTTTATGCAGTATTCTCTTCCCATTAAATACTATTTTATTGCTGTTTAAACCTTAACAGAACTGTCCACCATTGAAAATGAGTTTACATTATACTACTTTCCCAGTAATGAGGCTACAATCATGTTTTCAGTTGTCAATTATAAAGATGGCTTCTGAACAGAAAATAGCTCATAGCTCAAAAATGAAAATGTAGCAGCCATATACTGACAACTTTGGATCTATTCCTGAATTCAAAACTGCCTGAAAAACATGTCCTTTGTTTAAAAAAAGGACTTTATTCATGCTTAAAAAACATATTCTCCAGGGAAGCTTGTGTCTCTTTCCTTAGGGAATATGTTTGCCTTTTAAAAACTGATCCTTTAGAGCAGCGGTTCTCAACCTATATCAAAGGGCTGCGGCATTAAGAATGTTGAGAACCACTGCTTTAGAGTGTCATGGTTTTTCCTCTCCTTATAATACGTGTATTTGATTAAATAGCCTTGAAAAGAAAATATAAATGCTAAGGAGAAACACAGTTTTGCTAATAGAAAAGACGATGAAAACTGTCCAACTAGGGTGGTTTTTTTTTTTTTAAGGTGTGCTATACCTTAAATCTCTTCCAGCAAGTCTGCCAAAATTGCACACTCCTCTGTAAGGGTCAGGGAAAGGCTGGCTTTTACCATTAAGTATTCAGTACTTCCTTGAAATGTAATTATCTGGCAGTGTATGGATTATGGGCAGTTACCCAGTGCATATAGCAAACATTTTGAACTCATCATTCTTCTGTTTTGATGATTCTGGGCATTTCTCTTGTTACAAACTGGGGTTAGCACCACTTGACCATGCAGGGTTTTGTTTTGTTTTCTTCTCTGTAATTCTGGTCTCTGAAGGCTGTTAATTTGTATAGTCTTCTCAGCATCCCCCTCTCTCTCAGTGAGGCATATGTATGCATTTCCAGACAAATAAACTGTAATCAGAAAAAAATTGCAGGGAGTTCATTACATTTCTAGATTTTCAGTAGTTTAATGTTCTTCAGTTACAGTTGAGCTTTCAGATTAAACACATATGAAAATACAGAATAATGAGGAAAGATTTTATAAGTATATGGCTTCAAGGAGCCATCTGGTAAGCTACCCCTGATAATGTTGCCCAGTTACATTCATAAACCAAAGCTGTAGCTATTATTATTATTACATTAAGGTAGTCTGTTCTTGCTGTTGGGATGAGAAAGTTACTAACCTGTAGTCATCCCCTCCAGCACTAACAACATGTCGATCAGCACTGGTAAATCGAATATTTGTCACATGGGGTGAATGACCCAAGAACCTTTTGTGTTTTGCCTAAAAAACAATGACAAAGTCAGGGCATTTGAAGCACAGAGAAGTTAAATGTTTTCTATCCCAAGAACTGTGGCGGCAGTAGGGAGTTGGGATCACAGCCAATGATTTACATATACTTTTTCAGAGTTAGTAATGGATCTGCACTTAATACAACAGGTTTTTATTTGGGCAGTCAGATGTCTCCTGGGACTCTGAAGATTTCTCTCAGAGGAAAAGCATTTGAAATTATTGGTTTGGTAAAAAGCTAATCACCACTTTACTAGGATAACTTCCAAAGGTGGTATTAATGGAAGGAGGAGATCTGTTTTTAATAGTTTTTATTTCAGGGTAATGGGTTGAGATAGTTTGGGAAAAAATTTTGAAATACAAATTTTCAAATCAAGATAAAATGTGGCTTGGCGCCTGTGGCTCAAGTGGCTAAGGTGCCAGTCATGTACACCTTAGCTGGCAGGTTCAAATCCAGCCCGGGCCCGCCAAATAACAATGATGGCTGCAACCAAAAAATAGGCAGGCATTGTGGCGGATGCCTGTAGTCCCAGCTACTTGGGAGGCTGAGGCAAGAGAATCGCTTAAGCCCAGGAGTTAGAGGTTGCTGTGAGCTGTGATGCCTTGGCACTCTACCCAGCGTGATAGCTTGAGGCTCTGTCTCAAAAAAAAAAAGATAAAATGTTTTAAATATTATGAAGGAAAAAGTACTAGAGATCAGACATAAAAATTAGGTGTAGGATGATACACTAAACAAAATACAAACTTACAAATTTTTCTGGACACGGGAAGTCAAATAACTTAACCATGCCAAAGTCATCTCCTGTTACAAGGCTGATTCCCGAATGAGATACACAGGCACAATTGATATCGGCTTTCTCTGCATGTCTGGACCAGATTCCCATAACTTCATCTCCCAGAGTACTAAAGGGATGGAACAGAAGAAAATCTACCATATCAAGTATAGACAGGTTTACCACACTGAAAAAGTCCCTTGGCAACTAAAGAGATTTCTCTTAAGTAATTATTATTTAAAATACAGGAAGTAAATTGTGATAAGGCCTAAATTTCATCTGGATATCCTCCCTTTTTAAAATGAAATTTTATCATTTGAAGGATTTATAGATTAAATAATCCTTTTAAGATTCAATTAATACTTTGTAAAAGATGACAACTGCTTTTTGAATTAAAAGTGATGTAGCTGGGCTTCGTGATACACACTGTTAGTCCCAACTACTCTGGAGGCTGAGGTGGGAGGATCACTTGAGCCTAGGAATTCAAGGCCAGCCCAAGAAATCTAACAAAATCCTGTCTCTAGGGGAAAAAAAAATTTAAGTGATAACTTTTAATAGGAATTTGGTGGCTTTTTTTTTTTTATCAAAAAGATGGATATTTACATAGCCAGCAAATCTAAACAAGTTTGTAAGCTTTGATTACTAGGAGCTTCAGGATAGCATTCCTTTGGATAACAAATATATTCATAGAATAGTACCCAATATGTTTTTATTAACCATTATTAAATTTAACATTAAGGAAAATGTGGTATCTTTTAAAGTCATGACTTTGATTTTCTTTCTTTTAAAAGAACTTCATAAAGCTCACAAAGCATGGAAATATATTCAAATACAGACACAGATTAACATACTGTTATTCTCTTCCTAAGACTTCAAGATACAGTAACAAAAACCTGAAACTCAATTACTATTCTCTGGTAGAATGGTTCTGTTCAGAAAGAGGATTTTCTAGTTTTCCTAACTGACCTTCAGAGTCACTTCCCTTCTGAATAGATGAAGTATTTACCTAGTCCATGTAGCCCAAGTAATTCTGTCAATAGCAGCATGATCTGTAAGATGTTTTCCTGAAGGCACTTCATAGACATGCCGTTTATAGCAGCCACTGGAGACCTTTTTATCATATTAAAATGGGACAAGAATTTCATTAGGCAAGAGGCAAAATCGCAGGAGTTTGCAGACTAGCATGTTGCCACTCAATTTATATGTCTACCCTCATTAAGAAAAGACAGCCAGGCCCAGTGCTCACATCTATAATCCTAGCACTCTGGGAGGTCGAGGCTAGTGGATCATCTGAGCTCACAGAGATCTAGACCACTCCTGAGCAAAGCGAAACCCTGTCTCTACTAAAAACAGGACAACTAGCCAGGCGAGCACCTGTAGTCCTTCAGCTACTTCACTTGAGCTCGAGTTTGAGGTTGCTGTGAGCTATGAAGAGATGGCACTGTACCCAGAGCAACAGACTCAAAAAGTATACAAAAGACTATAAAAGCTAATACTATAAAAGCATTACAAAATGTAGAGAAAAGGAATGATAGGTCACAGGATACAAAAAGGTAAAAGTTGAGAAGTTCTGAAACTTAGAACCTTTAAATGTATTCACTAAATGCCAAATGTAAAAGCAGAACTACCCTTATAAACTGGGTATGTGGTATCCATACTGTACCTGGAGATACCTGCCATCTGCAGAGAAGTCCATTTGGATGACAAAGCTTGGAATATCTTTGCAGTAGTTGATTCTGTTAAGGGTGGGGCCCAGTGTTAGGTCATAAAAATCCACTGAGTTCTCGCTAGAGCCCACTGCCAGATACCGGGAATCTGGACTAAATCTGAATATGAACCAAAACATGGAAAGATGGGTTAGACCACATGATATAAATACTTAAGACCAATGACTTTTCTAGCAATTGGAAATTTGTGTGATATTTGGCCTCAAGTAGATTTACCTGACACACACTGGAGTTGTACTGAAGTTATATTTGTCTGTTACTTCAAATAAGAAAGCTTTATATTTTACTTACATTTGAGATGTTTCCTCAATTGTTACCTCCTAATTCCTAGAACACAGCCCAGGTTGTTAAAATAAAGTGACCCTTTGCAGCTTGGAAGAACTTATTTAGAAAAATGACGAAGTGAAATACTATTTGCCTAGCAATCACTGGAGTCAGCGTGGAACAATTCAGTCTTTTGAAAATGTTCCTCCCCTAGGGAGGGACATGTAGGCTCTAAGGGAAGCCACTGTTAACTGTTTTATATACAGAAGGTTTGTAAGAGGAAAGTTTCATTTGTAAAAGGATTTTACTCATGAAAACGCAAGCTTTTAAGAGTACTGGTATCAGTCTTAATCTACTGATAACAGAAGTGCTCAGTAAATGGTTAAGCTCAGTAAATTCACTGTTAAGCACTGAAGGTTCAAGAAAGGTTTAAATTGATTCAGATTCTGGCACATAGTATTTGTTCAAGTGTATTGATTAAATGAATAAACTATATTCCCAAATTAAGGTTATTTTGAGAAGTAAGATATGTTTAGGGTTATAATTTAGTTTCCCAGAGTGTCAACTTCTGAAGTTCCAATGGTTTTCTCGTATTACAGAGGGAGATAATGTCGCTATGGTGAACTTACTGAACGTGTCTAGCATGACATTTATTCCTCACATGTTACCTAGTCTTGCTATGATAAGGCACTGTGATTAGTGCCCAGGACATTTGTAAATTGGCAAGAATTAAGTATATAACAGCCAGGTTTCAGCAAACAACTTGGGATGTGTAAAATGCTACCTGCCCTCCAACCTTTTTTGAAAGTGTAGCTAAGGAAAATCTTTCAAGTTTTTTTGTTTTTTGTTTTTTGTTTTTTGGGGGGGGTGAGGTGGGGTTTTTTTGCAGTTTTGGCCGGGGCTGGGCTTGAGTCCATCACCCCCAGTATATGGGGCCAGTGCCCCTACTCCTTGAGAGACAGGTGCTGCCCCCCCCCCTTTTTTGAGACACAATCTCCCTTTGTCACCCTCAGTAGAGTGCTATGGCCTCATAGCTCACAGCAACCCCAGAGTTCTGGGCTCAAGTGATTCTCTTGCCTCAGCCTCCCAAGTAGCTGGGTGCCTGCCACAATGCACGGCTATTTTTAGAAGCAGTGTCTACCTCTAGTTCAGGCTGGTCTCGAACCCGTGAGCTCAAGCAATCCATCCACCTAGGCCTCCCAGAGTGCTGGGATTACAGGTGTGAGCCGTAGCACCCAGCCTTTTCAGTTGCAAGTTGAGTCATTTCTCATATACGAGAAATTCTTTCCCATTTGTTGACTAACCTGATGTCATGGATTGCACATCGTCTGTCTCTCTTCTTTCCCCATATTTTTAGAGAGCTCACTAGTAAAATAATAAATTCTCCATTTTTCATTCCAATGGCCACCATGTCCCCTTCAGGGCTATAACACACAGTACGAGCAGCATGTCCCAAATTCACTTTGTTTAACATCTTCTGCATAAGAACCAAAAGAGTCACAGAAAACTGTTAAGTGAAGTACTGATAAATTAAACCAAAATTCTCAGCATGAGTCTGAAATAGTTTCTTCTGTAAGCACTAGCGATTTAGGACTTCCTCTTTCCTTCTAAGAAATTGTATAATCTTTTAAAAAACTGTTTATACCTACTTTATCAGCAATATCCCAGAGTCTCACTGTTCCATCCTCCGCAGCAGAAAGGAAAAAATCCCTGGAAGGATGTGTTGCCAGCCCCCAGATCGGTCCATCCACATGACCATTAACTAAAATATTACATGCTGCGTTTTTCTCTCCAACTTCAATTATTTCAGCATTCTTTGTCCCAACTAGTATTTTGCCCTGAAACACAAGTCACACCAGTTCATTTAATATAATAAAACAGTTGCTCTTAATAGGAATAACCCTGTTGACCTACTTTTAGGGAACTCATCTAGTTGCAAGCCATTTTTGCATTATGTCCTGTAAAATTTCCTATGACTACAGGCACATCTGTAAGAACACTTGGCTAGGTTACATGTTAAAAGAAAGGAATTTTTTTCTCTATGGTAATATACCTGGACTCTTCAGTAATCAAAGTTTTGACTTTTGACTATGATCCTCTTGTGATCTTCAAAGGGGGTTAAGTGCACTGGGATATAGGAAGAAAGTACTAGGACCTATTTTTTAGCTAAAGAGTAAGTAAAAATAAACTTAATTAATTTAATATGCAGACTAAGGATAACACCTGTATAAGATTTATAAATACATTTAATGAGTGCCTTCATGCTGAAAAATTTTTTATTGGAATGTGTAGTTTAAAAAAAATTTTAATACATAATTATACATATTTATGGATACACCGTAATTAGCATATATATTACCTCAAACATTTGTGTGGGAATATTCAAAATCTTTTATATATCCAAAAGTATATATATATTTTTGTTAATTATAGTCATTCTCAGTGCTACGGAACACTGGAACTTACTGCTTCCATCCAGCTGTAATTTTGTACCCTTTGACCAATCTCTCCCTATCCTAGACTCTAGTAACCGCTATTCTACTCTCCACTTTGAGATCAACTTTTTAGCTTCTCCATGTTAATGAGAACATGATATTTATCTTTCTGTTCCTGGTTTATTTCACTTTGCATAATGTCCTCCAGGCTCATTCATGTTGCCATGAATGACAAGATTTCATTCTTTGTTGTGGCTGAATACTACCCCACATTATACCCAGGCAGTGTTTTTAAAGCATGGAAATAGCTCTCCTAATCAAAATGAATCAATTAGTAGGGATTTTCAATTCTCTCTACCATAGCTGAATTAACAGATTTAAGAAAGTACGAAAGTTTGAATACACTGTTTAGATGGAATAGCTTCCTTGATGCACTGCGCTAGTGCCAACTGTGGAACCACAAAACAACAGCAAAGGGAGAGGAAGGCCAGCAAGCCAATCTGTTTTTATGCATCATTAAGTATTCATTGAATTGCAGAGGTTAAGAGCATCATGGTAGTAACGTGCTGTATTGGCTCACAGAACATCTTACTTTGCTTCTGCACACAGAACGAACACAATCTGTAACTTGTCCTGTCTCAAGCCTGAAGGCACGGCATCGCCTCAGTTCCTGATCCCACAGCTTAACAGCTCCTCCTTCTTTTGACCTAAATAAATAACCAAACCAAAATAAGCGTTTACTATTGGCTACTACAAATAATTTTTATTATAAACAAATAACTAAATTATAAGCAGGATACTAAAACAAAAGGCCTCAGATCTGGCACTGATTCATGCCTGTAATCCCAACACTTTGAGAGGCTGAGGTAAGGGTTGCTTGAGGCCAGGAGTTCAAAACCAGTCTGGGCAACAGAGTGGGACCCTGTCTCTACAAAAAATAATATTAAAACATGAGCCAAACATGGTGGCATACACCTGTAGTCCTAGTAGCTACCAAGGAGGTTGAGGCAGGAAGACCATTGAGCCCAGGAGTTCAGGGTTGCAGTGAGCTATAATCATGCTACTGTCTCCAGCCTAGGTGACACAGTAAGGCCCTGTCTCAAAAAAAAAAAAAAATAAAGGCCCTAAGATACTGATAATTTTTGTATTATTCTAAACTTTCTCTGACAATTTTAGGGTATACTATATCTCAGTCAAAATACTTGGTTTCAGAAAATTTTATTAATTTTATTAGCATCCACTGTACATTATCTTCTTTAGTAACACTTTGTAAGAAGATAACAATTTTTAGTTTTAAAGGAAAAACAGAAATGTAAATGAGGTAATAAGATTACAGATACTATGCTACAGAGTGGTGGGGTTTTTTTTTTTCTTTTTTGGAGACATTCTCATTTTGTGGCCCTCACAGTGCTGTGGCATCACAGCTCACAACAACCTCAAACTCGGGCTCAAATGATCCTCTTGCCCTAGCCTCCCATGTAGCTGGACTACAGGTGCCTGCCACAATGCCCAGCTATTTTTAGACAGGGGGTCTTGCTCTAGCTTAGGCTGGTCTCAAACTCCTGAGCTCAGGCAATCCACCCTCCTTGGTCTCTCAGAGTGCTAGGATTACAGGCATGAACCACTGCGCCCAGCCTTACAGAATATATTTTTAAGGACCAAAAGAAAGCATATTTTTCCTACCATTATTAAAATAGCCCACTGAAGCAGTTTAGTAGGCTACTAGAGAGCAGGGTATGCAGGAATAGACGACATGGGCAATACAAGAGTTAGGGTAATATGTAAATATATCGCTTTTATGGATTTTCTCTCAGAAGAACTGAAAATGTACTCATTCTCTGCTAAATGAATTGCTGTCTTAGGAAAGAGCATATCCATGGACAGTCTTCCTTTATGTGAAAGGCAAAAGTTTCTGCACTCATGCTTAACATGTGGGTTCTTTTAGCCCTATAACGATGTGTTTCTTAGTCACTTGTCACATTTCAACACATATGACTATGTTGATGGCAAATATAAGTATCTGGTTACTGTTGGAAGATTTCAAAATCACTCAGAAAAAGGCCTCTTGTATTTTGAGGTTTTATATAAAACAATTTATCTAACAAGTGCTCCTCAGGCAATAGCAAACTACAGAGTTTGTCTTTAGCATCCTCTCATCCTTTTCTAGTGCAAAAATACGGATTTTGTACTTTTGTATCCAACATGGATAAAGAAGAGCAGGTAGTCAAAATCTTGCTTCAGTGGCAAAGATTTCTGCCATAGCCCCCCGTCACATAGCAAATATTTATACAGACAAATAGACAAGGAAAACCAATGCTTAATTTGTAGGGCAACCCAGTTGTTGGAGTTTAGGTTTATCTCTAATGTGGAAAACAACTGGAATGTGATTTAAGACCAGAAAGGAGAATCTAGAGAAGGTGTAAGACACTGAAGAAGTGTACAAGGAGGAAAGTCAGAGAGGGTGATCCATGTAGCCTAGAAATTAACCAGAATACCTCACTGCAAACCCCAGGCTGATCACAGACATTCAGAGAGGCTGAAAAGAAGAGGACTCACGGCCTTTCCTTGCCACCAGTCACAATAAGTCCATCTCGCAGGGTGGTATACATGGCAAACACAGGCCCATTGTGAGCTCTGGCCACAATTCTACACAGTATGTGATCTTTCCACACACAGACATCACCACTGATGGTACCTGTAAACGTCAAGTTATTCTGAAAAAGGAGTGGGGAAAAGGGGAGACAAACTCATCAAAAGTTCAAGTAGACTTCAGACAGATGCAATTTTCTACGTAACTATAATGCTGACTTCTTCCTGGGTACAAAGGGCATGCAGGGGATGGTGGGAGATGTACTAGACTTAACAGTCAAGAATCCTGAACTTGAGGCTTAGCTTTCTCAGGGCCTTTTTGTTTTCCAGTCTGTTGCTTATTAGCTGGAATAACTTTGGACAATTCTTTCCTTCCAATTCTAAAATACTATAATTTCAATTTGTATTGTTTCTCTGGATTGCCTTCCTCTAAATGCTCAATAAGTAATTTGAAAGTCATTAGTGACTGAGAATAAAAAACAGAAATAGGAAGTGAAGATAACTTTTTATTGGGTTTGGCAAAGTACTTTGTCATACAAAATAAAGCTATTATCTATGGAAAAGTAGAAGTTTTGCAGATTTCACTAACTAGATACAGGTCTAGGAGCATGACTAATACATATCTATCTGCACTTGGATGTAAATGCTTCAGGGACAGAAACTGCTATTTTACTTCCCCTTGTTCTTTTAATAGCCCCCACCATCGATGACGCTCAGAAAAGCTTAAAGACAACATAAAGCTACCTCGTTACATAAGAAAACATTCTCATTGAGTATACTGTGTTTCACACATAAAGAGCCAACTATTCCTAATATTTTAGTCTTCGGGTTTATTTTATATTGAGAATGGGCAACTGACTACATAAAGTTAATCTACATGACCAAATTAAACGTCAGAAGCATGTATATGAATGTGTGGGGTTTTCTTCTGGAAATGAACTGCTGGTTTAAGAATACCCAAAACATTCGACTGAAGTTTGACATGGCATTACCAACATTTTCATTCATCTTTATCTCAAAAACATAAATGAACTTAAAGGTTTTAGAATTATACATTTCCTCCTGCAAATACTGTATACCCATATAAATGCTTTAACAAGTACATCCACTTAATTTTTTGATGCACCAAAGGATTTATAAAGCCTAGCCAAAGCAGAATATAAAAGGACAGAGATGTGGATTGTGAACCACAGGCCCAGGTGGGGTGCAGTAAGGTAAGGGGAATGGAGAGCTCTTCAACAATCTTCTTTTATGTGGATCAAGATCAGGAATTGTGCCTTCTGCTGATGTCTCTCTACCTCCTTCTGAATTAGAGACACTGGCTTAGAACACTTCTAGCTATGTGATAAGCAGTGAGTTAAAATGGTAAAAAATAAAAGAAATCCTAAACTCAAGTCACTTGAAAATCATGTTTTTTTAATTTACCTTTCTTTTAACTCTGAAAAATTTTTAGGACCATGAGTAACTACTAAAAAGACAGAAATTTTAGAATTTGTAAGGTGACAGTAAGATGTATGGCTTTTGAGAATGGCAATGGACCAAAGACTCAAATGTTTCATCGTAGTCCTTCCCTCTTACTTTCTTTTTACTCCTCAATTTCTTAGAGAAAACACCAGATTTTTAAAAGATAAAACATTAATGTGGTTTATGTATCTAAGGCAAGAAAATTTAAAGCCATCATAGCCACACCACCACACGCATTTTAAGAGACATACTGCACCAAAGGCAACAGCAAGCATGGTCTGCATCCGGGCATCTTGCAGGGTGCTCAGGAGCCCTTTTTTGCTAAGAAGAGCCCTTCCTGCTAGGGTCCAGAACTTCACATGTTTTACTCCCACAGAGACAAACTGAGTATCTGAATCTGGTCGGAATTCTGCCACAAAAATACGTTGGTTGTGACCAGCTCGGCTGGCAATTTTGGCACCTGATGAAGATACAACAAAATTATCTAGGTTATTATAGGAACCAAACCAATCAACAATTAGGATAAAACAATTATGTAAAATATATAATTTAAAAAACAAATACTTATAAAAATAGAGGGCCCCGGGCTTTGACCTGCTACCTAACAAGATGTACAATTACTTGTGCAGTGAGTGCTTTTCACATATCTTTGCAAGTCATGTATATATTTACAGAGAACTTCATTGCCATTGAAGGGCCACTATAGATTTTGGGGACCATGTCTTATTTTTGTAAAGCTGACTACAGCTTTAAATTCCTGGGCTGCAGTGATGCACCTGCCTCAGGCTTCCGAGCAGCTGGAAATACAGGCATGTATCAGCTAATTTTTAAAAGTGTTTTATAGAGATAAGGTCTCACTATATTGCCCTGGTTGGCACTGACCTTTTGGCCTCAAGCAATCTTCCCACCTCAGCCTCCCAAAGTGCTGGGATTTATAGCACCTGGCAACTTCTTTTTATATAACTTAAAAGCAAATGTGTTAGGTAATATGACCTGGTTGCTCTTTCATTATCATTTAAAATATACTTGATTTTCATTCTCTAATGAGACCCTCCATAACCAATCAAATCATTAATAAGCAAAGACATCATTCCTACTAAAAGGAAATAGCAGTACATGGTTAGACAACTATGTACTAATAATAGTTTCATTAATTTCATCTGTTTTGTGAGCTTACAGTTTCACTGGGCTTTTAGAGTGGAACATACCTATAGTACCGCCAACTGTGTTCTGTGTATTATGTAAGGCTATAGTAAAATTCATTATTACCCTAGTATTCTTTTAAGAAAAAAAATCACATACATACAAAAATCCTACCTTCCTGCCATCTCCAAATGGTAATAGTATGTTCTGGGTCTAGTCCCACAGATAGCAATAGTTTGCCAGTAGCACTGAAGCTGACTGAACACACTCCCTTTGGATGGTAGCATCTTAGTATAGATAAAGTCTGCTTATTCATTGCATCCCAGATGTGGATAGAAGGAGCTGTAGCTAAATAAAAATAAAATCCAAAAGTTGTAATATACCTGTTACAAATGTTTCCACTTTTAAAGTTGATGCATATTCCTTTCTGATGTGGAAAAATATGTACCACAGAAGAATTGTGCTTAACAAATAGTTCAAAACTAAGACTGAATTTCAAAATGGAAAGGAAGAGGAAGGGGAAAGAAAAGAAAGAAAGAAATACAGAACACTTCAGGCTACATTCCAAATTGCACATTTGGAAAAATAGCATTTGACAAGCAAATCAGGTAATAACAAATTTAAACAACTCCTCCATAATAATACATGTTTTAGGTACATTTTATATAATTATTTAGGGAACTACATAAATATTACAGATACATATGAAATAAAAGTATACATTCAGTAGTGATGTTATCAAGGAAAAACAAAAAGCAAATTGAGAAAGGCAGTAGATTGATCTCAAAGGAAATTTTTAACCATACAGGAAAGCTCATGTCACCGTAAAAGACTTTTTTTCCCCCCCACAAAACAGGATTTCATGAGAAAGATAAAACTGCTTATTTTCTTTTTTTATTTTTTTCCAGTTTTTGGCCAGGGCTGGGTTTGAACCAACCACCTCCAGTATATGGGGGCAGTGCCCTACTCCCTTGAGCCACAGGCATACCCAAAACTGCTTATCTTTTTTAAAAAGTAAAAGATACGTTTACTTTGGGTGATTGCTTGAGCTCCAGAGTTCCAGACCAGCCTGATCAAGAGTGATACCTTGTCTCTACTCAAAATAGAAAAACTAGCTGGGTGGGGCACTGTGGTAGGCCCCTGTAGTCCTAACTACTTGGGAGATTGAGACAAGAGGATAACTTAAGTCCAAGAGTATGAAGTTGACCAGGACATGGTGGCTCACATCTGTAATCCTAGCATCTGGCATACCAAGGCAGGTAGACTGTTTGAAGTCAGGAGTTGGAGATCACCCTGAGCAAGAGAAAGACCCCATCTCTACCAAAAATAGAAAATCTAGCCAGCCATTGTGGTGGGTGTCTGTAATCCCAGCTACTGGGGAGGGTGAGGCAGGAGGATTTCTTGAGTCCAGAGTTTAAGGTTGCTGTGAGCTATCATGACACTAAGACACTCTACCTAGGTTGAACCAAGTGAGACTCTGTCTCAAAAAAAAAAAAAAAATTATGTTTATAAAATATGTTTTATTTTTTCCTATCATTTGAAAATGGTCATTCGCAGTGCTCAGGCAACACAGATACAGGTCTTACTCCTCCTCTGGGAAGCTTGCAGGTATTGAGTGTCTGTTATGGCAGGCATACTACTAGATGCATCTCATATTTTCTAATCCCCACCCTCTAGGCAGATAGGTCCCCTCCTCCCCAAACTCAGGTTCACAAAAGTTAAGTGACTTGCCCTAATGCAGATCAGAGGTGGCAGAGCCAGCACAGGTGTGCTGTTGTCAGTAACCAGGTTCCATTCTCAACCTTTCCACCACATCTAGCTCTCTGTGGAAATCAATCCCACAATTTTTCACAAAATTATTTTATTTACTTATTTATTTTGGTACTGCATAAGATTCATATTTGATTTATTATGATTATTTAACAATTTATTGAAAAAAGGCCAAATTTTTTGTTTTTTATTAAGTACATTCCACAGCACAAAGCTGCCATGAATAATGTCTGTACGATTTAACAGGGTTTTTTTGTTTGGTTTTTTTTTGTTTTTTTTTTTGAGACAGAGCCTCAAGCTATCCCCCTGGGCAGAGTGCCATGGCATCACAGCAGCTCACAGCAACCTCCAACTCCTGGGCTCAAGAGAGTCTCCTGCCTCAGCCTCCCAAGCAGCTGGGACCACAGGTGCCCGCCACAACGCCCGGCCATTTTTTGGTTGCAGCCATCATTGTTGTTTGGCGGGCCCGGGCTGGGGATTCGAACCCGCCACCTTAGGTGTATGTGGCTGATGCCTTAGCCGCTTGAGCCACATGCGCCGAGCCAATTTAACAGTTTTAATAGCTCTTCAGACACAAATTTACTTCAAACAGATAACTGGCAAACATAATTAATTACAAGTTAGAATTATACTATCCCAGTGCCATAAAATATTAATAGAAACAGTAATTTACAGTTGCTCAATTGTGGTTAGCAAAATAAAATCTAAACTATGGCTGGGAATTATTATTATAATCCCAGAAAGTCAGAATTCCTTGGATGCCAAAATCCTCTGCTAGCATTTAGTAGGCACAATTCAAAGGTGATGTATGTATTCAAAGGTCATGCTCTCCCAAGGAACAAGAGGCAGTTCTATATTAAACATGCAGAAAGAACAACAACAACAAAAAATCCCCTCCCCTGGCCTTCCTAACCAGTTTGATACGGACGCTGTAAGATGAAGAGTGGTCAAAGTTACATCACTTTCACAACAACTGTCAAGCTCACAATATCTACCTTATTAAAGGAGGTTTATTTTTTATACTTTGAGACTTAGCCTCTCAAAAACAGAAGTTAATTTAGTAACATAGGAGGAAAGACTATTTTTTTTTAAAAAAAAAGAAAAACTAGAAAACAAAGATAACTCAGTAAACAAATCACATACACACACACTGACCTTACACCATTCTCAAGGCACAGGACAAATCAGAGTGGAAGAACTTTCCCTTTGGTAGCAGAGGAAGAGGTTTAGTGTACAGGAGGTTGTTTATAAAGGACCAATAAATGTTACTGATATTCCTTGATCTTTGGAAACAATGTCAAGGGGCAAATCAAAACCTAATATTGAACAAGGGAAAAGAAGTGCCAACTAGATGCCAATGTCTTTTCTGTGAATGCTCAGTGGGACGATGCCATTCACACACTGGCGCTGCAGAGTACTTGGCAACTTTGAGGACCTGCCAGAGCCACCACAGTGGATGACACCAGAGAGGACTGGGGTGGGAGTCATGAGTTTGATGCTTTGTACCACTTAGGAGGGCGCCTCAACCAGCCTGACCTGTTCTGCAGACTCCAACATACAAGCAGGTCCTGGGAACACTGGCAAAGCCAAGATGCATGAATTCTAGAGCAAGAAGCCCAATGGGGCTTTCTTGTTCTTCCCTTCCCAGGACTACAATTACACAGAATGATTTTTTTCTTTTGAGACAGAGTCTCACTCTGTTACCCAGGCTAGAGTGACATAGCCTCAGCCTGACTCATAGCAACCTCAGACACCTGGGGTTCAAATGATCCTCCTGCCTCAGCCTCCAGAGTAGCTGGGAGTACAGGGACTTGCTACAATGCCCACGTAATTTTTCTATTTTTTTAGTAGATACGGGGTCTCACTCTTGCTCAAGTTGGTCTCAAAGTCCTGAGCTTAAGCAATCTTCCTGCTTGGCCACCCAGAGTGTGAGGGTTATAGGTGTGAGCCACCAAGTCTAGCCCAGAATACTGATTTTTGACAGTGAAGCCAAATGAATACTATGGGAGTATACACTTGTGCTCAGGAGTACTTAGTAGGAAAACAACAACAACAACAAAAATGTTAAGGTACTTCTCTATTGTATATACAGTGTAACAAATCAAACATTTTATGTTACACTTTAGAAACGCATTTAATACAAGATTCCCATTATAATCACACACACCACATGCACACAGGATAATGACAAAATAAAACACTGTATGAATTCTCCAGGAAGAGTTCTAGGTAATCCACATCAATCCTGGTAAATGGTTCTTGAGCCCAGCACATGGCTAAGTGTGAACACACCCTGCATTAGCATCTCAGGCACTGTTATGTACATTATATTTACATGTGGATAAAATATTTTAAATTAGGAGGCAAGCATGTGCATAAAGGTGTTACTGTGACAAACATCAGGAGACAATTGCAGGACAAAGAATAGCAAATAAAAAAAAAAAAGCTATGTTGCCCACAGGGAGATGATATGACTGGCTTATAATTCTTTAAATTAAAAGAAATTGGTACAGAAAGAAAGCATAACGAAGAAAATTACTAAAGCAATCCAGAGAGATTTTTTTCATTGTCCACTATGTTCTAATACAGTAAGTCAGAATTAATCATGACTTGGGATGGCCAAAAGGAGAATCTAACTTTTGAAGAGGAAAATCTGTATATATGGCACACCTCTTGGGTGCGGGACACAACTACAAGAGGGACTCTACCTAACAAATGCAAACATTGTCACCTAGGTGTTTGTATCCTTGCATTAACCTGAAATAAAATTTAAAAAATCATTAATGAATCAAGCAAAATATAAATAAATAAATCTACCTTCTGAATGTCTACCCTGGACATTCTGGGTAAGTGGCATCTAAAATTTCACTGAAGAAGAATACCGTTTCTTTCTTTTTGTAGACACAGTCTCACTCTATCACCCTTGGTAGAGTGCCGTGGCACCACCTCTTCTTTCTTTCTTCCTTTTTTTGAGACAAGAGTCTTACTCTGCCCCACTGGGTAGAGTGCTATACTGTCACAGCTCACAACAACCTCAAGCTCCTAGGCTCGGCTCGGCGCCTGTGGCTCAACTGGCTAAGGCGCCAGCCACGGACACCTGAGGTGGCGGGTTCGAATCCCCAGCCCGGACCCGCCAAACAACAATGATGGCTGCAACCAAAAAATAGCC